CATCTCACGTCACTGGAGCTTCCAGCGAGAGGGTCGCTGCATTATTTAATGGTCTCCATCGTAGGATTAAGACACAAAATTGAACGTGTTTCACATAGCCAATGGCCTTTAAATGGTATTTTACACTTTTAGACCAAAGCTGATTAGATTGTGCCTCAGCTGCTAAAAAAACGTATACGTTGTGTTTACATTTTGTGTTTAGTCGTGTTGGAGTGACGAATATAACATGCTGTGGTTTCGAGAGTTTTCTTAGTGATGCTTTTTTAGTTCGATATCAACAGGGCTATCAATAGCAAGTAAAGCTTGTGGAACTGAGAAAAAGCGTAAATATTTACAGCCAAATTTCATAAAAGAGGATTTTAAAAATATTGTGGACTAGATGTGCCGTTGCTGTCATTTAACAGCTGCTTGATATGTTGATTGATATGATATAGTTGATATTTTCTTGGCTTCATTCTGTGTCATTTCTATTCACAGTCTCGCGTAATTCAAATTAATGGACTATTACCTTGCAGGTTGCTTGCGGTTGACAGGATGTAATAGGTCATTAGCTTCATCTTCGAGAGCGGGTCTCAACATTCTGTCCATAGCACCCTTTGCCCGGCTTCGTGATCAATGATGTTTCATTCTTCATGCACATTTCAAACTACATCAGCGCACTGCTCGTTAAATACAGATATGGAGGGATTATGTCTTCAGTTTCTTATTATGCTTCTCGCGTGTAGGTAAGATGGCGGTGAGGTCTTACCCAATTTGTCCCTATATATGGCTAGATCTATGAAACATGTTAACACGTTAAAAGTACCTTCGTACTGAAGAGAACTTGTGGTAATAAAAGTTACGCATGAGGAGTGTGGGTAGAGTTATTAGTTTTTGGTTACCGGTTACTACTAACTACGGTGAATCTTTACCACCCGGGCCTCTTTTCACTACAGGCTGAGACCGCGGAGCGACCAAGTCACAGATCACTCAACGAGTTTCATTGACAAAGACATTTTTAACCATTTGTTTGTTTTGCTAGCTATGCTGTCTTTTAAATCATACCCCTTTTGTATTCCAATTATCAATTATAACATCAAGGGCTACAAAAATCCAGTTTGGTCTCGATCGCTCAACGGACCTCAGAGGAAATGGCGCCTAACAGGAGATATCACGGTGGAGATGTTTCGTCCAAAGTCATCTGAGCTACAGCGCCTTACGTCCCTGGTGGATTCCTGTCTATGGCGTCCTGGAGCAGTGGCAAAGTAGTTCCTTTTTATCACTACCTTTCGGGAACTAAAGGCCTATGCCCCTAATCATAAAAATAGTGTAATTTACTTACAGCGGAAACTAAGGCAACTCAGAGTTCGTCATGTCAACGTACGCGTCTTATGTGCAATGGTAGAATTAATCTATTCTCATTCATGCTCACTACAAAGCAATTGGATTTAGAAATTGGACGATATATATTGATAACTTGCCTTCTTCATCGTTAATCTTTTATATTTTTCTATCTTTCCCGGTAGCCTTTGTCTAAGTCATGTGCATTGTTCATCTAACGTTATATCTTTTGCGTCTGATATGGTGCACAAATAAATCTTCAAAGTGAATTTTTGTGTGGTAAATTTATGGTGAATGAAGGACGAGGGTCAACGATTAAGAGTTGTGCACATCCCATAGCAGATGTCGTTACGAAGTTGTGAATACAAATTATGCACTTATCTGACCTTAAATCTTGCAAGGTGCATAGTGTGCATTCATCAAAATCACACACTGGCTAATACACAATCAATATAGCTGCTAGTAAATGGCAGAAGTGCAATTTTATGTCTGCGTGACAGATATAGATTTGTGGAAATGTGCCAAGTACTGTCCTACCGGAGGTTGTCCGAAATGGTTCTCCAAACTTCAATAAGTTGGTGAGAAAGTGGGTGGACCAAATGGATTGCGCAAGACTGCATGTATATATCGACACCAGACGGTAATCTACTTTTTGGTAAATATTCTTTTGCACAAGAGTCAAGAGGATGTCATATTATCACTCATTACATCTGTAGCACCCCAGGATAAATTCTTTCACACATACAATGAATATGAGGGCAATATTTTGGACTGTCTCATTTACTAGAAATTACTGCCGAAGGTTAATGCATGGAAATTGTATGACACATTCCTATGAAAACAACACAAGCTTCCGTCGCCTCCTGGGAAAGCTGGTGACATTTTGATAATTGCCTCTGGGACACTGAGACATCTTTGCGAGTTAACCTTCGAACATGGGGATACTGGAAATAAACAGCAGCACCTCCCATTGGATTAAAGGACCAGAAAACCTTCATTTGTATTAAAACAGCGTGTGAGGCTTATAAAACATTCAACACCAGGGATGAGCAGGGATGTAATCATCAGATAGCCCTTGATGGAAGTCAATGGTTCCAAGTCTAACATTGATTGCAATATCTACACAAGAACTAGTCAAGGAGAACATTGTGCATTCCAAACCACAGATATCAAAAACTCAGCAAAAGGCCCAGCATTTTCAAGAGGAGGCCAGATGATATATATGCACATGCATGAGCAACCTCAACCATCTGGTGAAGGCATGTCAGGTGAATGTTTTTGATATAATAAAAACCCATAATATCTGAAGTAGATTTTTTAAAGGTTCTAACAATGTGTTAGGAGTTACCAAATCGTGTGCTAAACATATGATTACTTTGAATATCTGTTGGTAAAAGAATGCAAATTCAGTACAAAAAATAACCATGGGAGCAGCGCAGCAGATAACATCATTCAAGATTTCAGTACTGAAGTGAAAGGCTGTTAAGAGTACTCTCCTGTCTCTGAAGGACCCATTCTGACGTTTGCCAATTCAAGTAACTCTACAACCTAGATACAAGGAGTGATGATGACATACCAGCCATTAGAGCAGGGTGTTAAGCGGGTTGCTCTGAAAGTCAAGGCTGCCAATGAAGAACTACATGTAGAAATGCAAGCCAGACCAGTGACTACCTTTGGAAGCTCTTACACAAAAGTATTGAACTTAATGGAGTCTTGGACAGGTAAGAAGTTATAAAAGAATTTTGTATATTGTATAAAAGCATATTAGCTGAAGGATATAGTGAGAGACCTTTGTCAGATAAGTGCTGGTGCCAATACACTCACACCAATATACAACATTGGTGTGAGTAGAGATTGTAGAGAGAGACACAGGGTCACAGTGTTCTTCACTGCCTTTCCTGGTAAAAGTCCAAATGAATGCTGAACATAGTCATTTATACTTTCTACAACCTTTATTATCTAGAATAAAATAATATAAGCACACTTTTATGAATCTCAATCCAAAATTGAGAATGAGAGAGATGTGTGATACATGTGCACAGAATCCAAGAATTTACTTAACACCATTTTTTAAAATTTCTAACCAGTCTTTGTGTGTAGTTTTTTTATAGATTCTTATACATCAGAACTCATACTAGTCTTTATCAAATATGTTGTATAAAAGTACTTCCTGATATATTTCTTAATAAAATACTTCAAAATGCTTTTGTGTTAAATTGTGTTAATGAATTATGAACTGACTTCCCCTATTGAAGTTCATCAGTGGTATCATCCTAGAGATTAGGTATGTACCAGCCTTATTCCATGACTCAAGGTCACCTTGAAGGAAAGTTACAAATTAGAATGCATGTATGCCTTGAATGCTAGGAATAATATGATAATACATGTATGTTAATGTTCTGTGAAAAAACAGCCTACACACACACACCATCCTAATCTAAAACAAAACTCAAAAGTCATATAATAATTGATAAAATATTTTGAAATTTTATGGATGAAGAAATTCCAGCTTTATGGTGTAGGTCATGACATTTTCAAACAAGAAAATGTTTGTCACTCTGAAAGTGCAGCCACCAACAGCTTGCATGCATACATGTATGTAGGTCATGGCTGTATCAAATTTAACAGTTACAGTATTCTGTCCAGATGCTTTTTATATCAGCTCCTAAATTCTGACAACAGTTCTTGTAGAATACAGCTCCACAGATTTTATAGGAAATATCTACACAAAAATAATTCAACCATGAACACAGGAATATTAACCAACTAGAGATCCAAGGCCCCATACCCTGCCCAAATGATGTTAACCTTTATGGCTGAGAGAAGTATGAAAGTTTCTCATTATCAATCAATTATGCAAAGAAGATCCTAATTCATCCTCAATTATATCAGTTGATCAGATTTTTCAACCAATGACAGTCTTATAATGACAAAGAAGGCTTGACATTTGCTTGACAATTTTATACATTTGTTGCATCTATTTTCAAATCAGTATGATCAGGTTTTGAATTTGAACGTTTTGCTAGTAGAAGCCAAATACTTTGACAAAGAAAATTTTGCTATTGCAACACATGCAATTTGAGTTGCACTTCTGAATACACTAAGTCACATCCCTTTCTGAAAGTTACTATGCAAAAAAAACATAGCCAAAATCAGACTTGCATTAGGATTTGACCTAGGCAAAACTAAAATAGGAACATTTCCATACACACCTTACACAACCTTCTACCATGAATCGATGACACAACTATGGCAAATGTATGAGCTTTCTGCACAATGAAGGCACGTTTTGAAGCAACTGCGGCTTTACTTTCATCAAAGAAAATGCAGTTTGACATCACAGGCTAGAATTCTATTAGGTTCCACTTCCACAGCAACAGCCTGCCTATGGCGAGCTGACTAATGCATGCCAGGTCAGCCTGCAGATAAAAAGCTAGCTAAAGGTGCATACCTGCACTTTAAAGATTTCACATTATGAATGGGCCTACATGTAAAATTAAGGTACTAGAATATGATAAAAGCCCTAAGCCAGATTACAAGAGTTTCATAATTCAGATGTAAAGACAGAGCCAACAATCTGATCTGGACGACAAGTACATGTATATGTGGGTTTTAAAATCTTTCATTCAAAACTTTCATTTTTATATTACATGTCATAAAGAAAGAAGACTCAGTTGATCAATTAGAAGCACAAATTTGTACTTCAAAATCAACAATATTAAAAATCCTGGCTACACATCATATGAAAATGTCCCTGGTACTGAAAACTGTGCTGTTGACCTTGCTGACAGGTTAGGATTGGCGTGGTCTGTTGTATGACTGATTTGACAGCCAACTCCCCTGAGAAGGATGCACTCATTCTGCACAATTTAACCTGAGTCACACACATCCCTCCCCTGGGATATGGGGAGCACTGGGGACATGGGTCAAGACCATATTTCTTTCTCCCTTGGATTTCATGCAAAGTGCTTGTTTGAGAATCTCGGCCAAACAGGACAATCCATGGAACTGTGCTGCAATCATCCTGTTTTGACAAAATATGTGCAATCCTGATGTTGATGGCAGTTCTTCAGCCACAGTTGCTGTACAAAAATTCAGCCTGAACATGCTACGAAGTAAATATATAAACATCATAACTAGTTCAGTTTCTAAGAGATATTAAAAATGTACATTCAAAAGCTCACCTTCCTATTACAGCATTAAAAATCCAATGCTAACTAAACACTCTTACTATCAGTTGCACACACTCACACACACTCACAAACACACAAAACTACCTCATTTCCAACCAACTATACTACAGCAGGACCCTTCTATGACCATCATCTTCTCCATGTTTTGGGTCCATCTATTCACTTAAGTGGCACAGAATATTGTAAGGGTGACACAGATTCTGGATAAGTTGGCATGATGTTGGTGGTGGTGATGACAGTTGTGTTACAGGACTACGGAGGATGTGCACATGGTGTTGAGTCCACACACTCCGCCCCCGCGGTACACAAGGTAGTAACCCTGCAGGAGAAATAGCACAACTTCACTTTCAAATATCATCAAACTCCTTCACAGTTGCTCTTACTTTATTGTCTGTTTAGTTCATTTATTAATACAGATCAATGTTGTTGCATCTACATACAACATACATACAAGTGTACTATTGAATATTTTATGCATGCAGCCACCATATCCTGCTATCTTTGTAATTAAATGCAATGCACAGCATTGATCCTAGGACAGGGAATTGGAATTCTGCTTTGCAGCTTAAATATTTCATGAAAGAAAACATCTCTCTCTTTAAGATTAAGTTCAAGTCCTTCATAACTCCTCTACCATGGGGTTGCATTTTTGTCTCGCACATACACTAACAAATGCATCATGTTCAGAATAGATCTTAGCAAATACACAGCACAACTATCATTAGATTCTTCATTCCACTCCTCAGAATCCTTTCACTGAACTCAATCTATTTTGTGAGCCACCTAACAGCATTGAACATCACGGCCTAGGAAACGAACTGACAAATGTGGCTATGCATATTTTTATCCAACAAAGCCTCAAGTTTGTAACAGCACACAACTATAAAATTGTCTTAGTGAGCTGACTGTGAGACTGCCTTTTTTTATTGAGGCGCCAATAATGCGACAAGTCAGCTTGCTATTCATTTGTTCTACTTCAACAAACTGCCCATTATCATAACCACAGTCACTGTGGCACTTGTCAAAGCCCATCCTGTGTTGATCAGTCTGTCGCTTTAATGTGCTCATTAGTCGGTGATATTTGGTACTGCAGACTGGAGCCCATTTACCTCAATAAACTAAGTAATGTTACATGTGCATGTATACATATGTAGATCTAGCTTACAGGCTTCTTACATTACTGAGCAGTAAGGAAGGATGAGAAACTCAAATAAATAAATAAATAAACTCATGGTTGCATCACTATTTCTTGGAAAAAATGCACTGTTAAAATGTCTGAGGAATAGTTTATTGCTTGCCTTTATACAATGTGTTATTGCTTCTCTGCAAAATTCAACTGTGCTACTTCATTCATAGAGATGTACTAACCTAGTAACATTGAAATCCATGCCAATGAAATCCATGCCATGCAAAGGTGCCATAAAAGCGACCTTCAAGTCTCCTTTGCACACAAAATCTGAAGGAACCTTTCATTTAACATATAGGAAAGATGCACCATGGTCCCTGAGGCAAGAGTAAATGTTCCGGGTGGTCAGACTCGTCTTGCATACACACTGTAACACACAGCACCACAGGCATCACAGCCCACGCTTCTCTCTCCATTACTCTTCAACACACATCCATAACGGGGGGTGCCCTATCTTATTATGCAAAAGTATGCCGTGTTTGTTGCCACTAACTTCGCTAATTGAAAAGGCAAATAAAACATTAGTCCATGCATACAGCTGTTATTTGCATGCAAAGTATAGTTCTATATATTTATGTATCATTTTGTCTAAAAAAGAAAATATCGGTCATTTTCAACAATCATAACAATGGCGCTGGAAAGAGGGTCACTGCATTGTGGAGGCTTGTGCCCAGAAATAAACGGCCTGTACCAAGATTTGACACATACACAAGGAAGAAAACTTTACAAAACAGTAAATATGTGGGTCTCTGAGTGTTTGTTTTGTAGAAAATCAACCCGTGAAAAACAACGTCAACACCACTGTCGTCTGCATTTCCCATGATTCCCCTCGGACCACATTGATTGCGTAAGCCGGATTTTCAGTGGAAACACGGACTGATTACGTTAGATACTACCCTCCTCTCGTAAGATGAGAAGTACACACAATCACAATTTTACTGTCCAAAGAAAGCTAACATATCATAAAATCCTATTCTTATTCTTATTTACTTAATTTCATCATCAACGCCTGAAGAGAGGAAAATTACCAAAACGCCCGAAGTTAGGCCACCCTGTCTAGGTACATTCACAAAAATGTCTCACAGAGTTTGTCGCTTGTAACGCGGAGCGTGAAGAGCTTATGAATAGTATGAATGGATTGCTTATCCAAGTATGTTGTTTACATTTATTTAATGTTCTCAAAATTCATTCGTCAAAACCTGACCACTCTCTGACAACTAACGATAGAGCGCCATGAGTTCGAGCGTCTGAAAAAGCGTCCGTGTTAGAGCACCTCCCCCATTACCCTTGGACTGAGCACTGGGAGAAATTGAATCTGTTCACTCAGTTCTATGGCTATAAATTCAGTATAGGCAATTCTGGCTAGTTGCTAGAAATCTTGATTCACACTGAAGCACGTACAAAGTTTTACCCCTTTTGTCAGCCTCAGCAATCTGGCTTAGGACTTGTCTGGGTGAATTCTCTTAAGAGGTCCTGCAAGGGGGGGTGCCGACAACGCTCTACGCTGAATTCGGAAACCTCTCGATTACACTTTACGATAAATTCCAAGTGGCTACAATGCATTACGTAGAATTTAATACGCCGAATATGCTCTACGCAAAAATATTAGAGCGGTCCGCCTACGCTCTACGTAGAATTAAAACGGCTGATTACGCTCTACGGAAAAGGGCTTGCGTGCCCCCTTTTAACAATCCTGGCTTAAAACACAGCAGGAAAAGCAGTAAGGTTGGGAACAAAAAAGTTCAAATTTAATTTCTATTCCAAACATGTTACATAAGCACTTAGCAAATTTCTGCTGAAAACTTCCCTTTCAGACAGGATGGCTTTGGTCATTATTTCCTCTCACAGTACTCATCTCCTTCTTGGCAGTCCCCTGGGCTACACAAGTCTAGACTGGTACTTACCATAGTCTATCATAGTGTTTGCAAGATGTAGACAAGAAAGATGTTGCACTTTCCTCCCACCGTTTACTTTCAGACAAAGCTTACCTTAAGGTTGGGGGTTAATTACAGGAGCCTTCTGTCTTATATCTATAGTCAAAATCTGTTATAGGGTGTGAGTAATACATTTTGTATTGCAGTCATATCTCCCATTATAACCTTTTCCCCAATTCTGCTGGGAAGAATTATGTAAGACTTTAAGTACACTCTCTATATCCACACAAGGGAAAGCTGTGACTAAAACTGATTACCTCCCATGTACTTCCAGACCATACTACACTGCATTATAAGTTATAACCACTTAAACAGAACATAAAAATGCCCATTGGTATGATTCAGTATTAACAATTATTTGTGATATCACCATCCTGTGGGTTTGAACATGAAATACAACAGACATTTAAAACAGAAGGTGCAAGATGTGGACATCTTCACTCTACTGTTAGTATGCCTTTAGATTTCCCTTCATGCAAATTCCTAGCTACAGGCTTATGTAGTCCTAAATTCTTTGGAGAGACCAGTCCATTGACTCAACAAACAGATCTTCAACAAACCCGGTTCAGAGAGAGTTCCAGACTGGCCCAGGGTTAATAACAGCACTGCCAACTGGACCCTTTTCATTTGAAAATGGCATCAAACAATCACGTCTGATGCTTGCACAAATGTACCTGCAATCAGCGTGCCGCCCACACACCCCACAAGGCAAAACACCAGTCTGATGAAAGACAATGAATGATATGGAGTGAAGAGTTGGTTGTGACAGGTTTCTACCCACCCGTACGTATATAACCATGTGATTACTGACCTGTCCAGAACTATCACTAGACATGAAAAGGCTTTTTATTTTTATACACACTCAGGTGGTCTTAACTTATTACTTTATGTTACTTATTCCAGTGTTCACTTGCTTTGAATCTTTTAATCTACAGTAAATATGATTCAGTGCCCATCACCTTGGGTTATGTAAAACTGCAATCTTTTCACAACTATTGATGCCTTAATGTACAATTGGGACATAACCAGGCTTGGCACATTTGTACTCCATTGATTTTTGTCAGCTTAATGGATTATCTAATAACATTTAAATGCACATTGTAGCTGTAGGTGAATTTCCAATGTAGTAAAATTTCACCTCAAACTTTGCAAACTTTGCTGTTTTTGATTTGACAGTTGTTTGCTAGAATAGTGGAAGGACCTTAGGGTCAATGGGCTTTTTCCCTTGATTTATGCTGAATATTAAAAAATTCAAAGAATGAGCAACAACAGAAACATGGACCAGGGGTATCTACACACACGTTACACTGTGTGTTCATTCTCCATGACAAATATACATGACTTTGTATGTTCACTCAAGAGGTTCTGCAGCTGCATAATTTGTCCACTTGAGTTGACAGCCTATTCTCCTGAATATGAATAATGTATCCAACTGAATTCACACAGCACGCCAATAAGTCATGGATCAAGAGGGAATGATTGGGATGAACAGTTCCCAAAATATATATACATATAAAACATAAGTATCTCTGGAGGTGGTATTAGTGTGTGTGTGGGGGGGGGGGAGTTTTTCCTAGACAATGCTTCATTGAGCAATATATCGCAAATGGAATCTCAAGAAATAGATATAGTGCAATTAATTATAACAAACAGTTTTCTTCTGAAGGGAGCTACAAATCATATTTTGAGATTAACCTCTGCAGAAAAGACTGTCCAGAAAGGCTACAGATTGCATATCAGGCTCTCTGGGTCCTTCTAGATCTCCATAACCAAACGGACAGGTCAGATACAGCATGCCTTTGCTACAAAACAGCACTATCCATTAATCTTTCTAACCTGAGTGTAGGAAAAATGCTGTTAAAACTCTTTAGTAATCCTGCTGAACACAACAACTCACAAAACATGCAGTAAACTAATGCCTTTCCCCCATATACTCCCCCTCTGTGGCAGTCATCAACTCTTATCTACATTCAAATGGTCACATGTAGTTCTTGATGTGATCAGTATGGCTCTGTAGCACTTATATATGGTAAGCTCACATGTCCTTGGGCAGGGGAAAATTGTTTTTACCCTATTATGGGTTGCCATATTTCAAGGAGGCCCACGGTTCTTTCTCTGACTTGAGATAATGTAATAGCGGCAACTTTAAAACTGACAGTAAAAATAAAAAGGGCGCGAATGAAATATGACCAGCGTTAGTCTTCCTAAACTGTGTCATAATGGAAACTGAGGTCAATGCATAATGGGTCCTGGCATACAGGACAGCATACTTACATTCCAAACTTACAACTGGCATTTACAAATGTATGACTGTCAGTAACTACAGAAGTACAAAACAATGGTACCATAAAACTATTTTCTTTAAATCTACAGATAAATTTCCTGAAAACTTTCCTCAGGCCATGATGTGGTACCATGATAATATGTGCTGCATGTTGGATAATTATATAATGATACCAGCCTACCAAATTGCTGGAGTTATTTGCCATATGCTGGCCTTGTGACTCAGTTTAACAAGATAGATGTTCTATCTATTGAGAACTCTGATGTTAAATAATAATTTGGGTCACAAAAAGTAATAAGAAGTTGGCTGCCATACACTAATGACCATAAAGATGCATTACAGGTAGTCACGATTACCAGACATAGTCAGTTTGAACTTATCTATCAATATTGAACCATCTGATGTTCCATCTATTCTGGGTAATTCTACGAAACTCAAAACAGCCTAGTGCCATTTGCCACATAAAACAGGATTTTCTTGATGCATGACATGTAAAAACATGGTTCTATCTCCCTGGTATGACGTAAATGGGCTGAAAATGGATTTGGGTATGAAATAGAGGAAATGACAGGAACTTTTATGAACATCCACATGGGCTGATGACATGATCTACTCTGACACATGTACATGCGCACCACCCTGACACATCAATCAGGGATGCCTGACCTATCAACCTTTACATCAAGCTGTACCCTGCCTGTATCAAAAGGGACTGACATGTTAGTTCAATTTCCCATGATTTACAGTTGGACAAAGCACTTTTAAACAGGAAGCCATGCCAGTGGCATTGAGGAGAAAGACAGAAAACCAGGTAAATTATGGATAGGCTATTAATAACTATTCTTACCTTTGATAATTAGAAAAAAATGAAATAGTAATGAGACGGCAAAATAGCTGGCACTGAGAAAAGAGCCCGAGGCCAAACAGGGTTTGACTTTTTCAGCTTTACTGCCTGCTGGAATGACCTTTCATGTGTTTCCCATCTTCTGGCATAATAGTCAATCAATATACTAAAGCATGAACTAAAGCTAATCCACAGTCAGCCAGTTGTGCTATTAAATGGGAAGTCACATATAGGATATGACTTGATGTAAAAGAAATGTGACTTGAAGGTGCCCCATAACTGATAACATCCATTTGGCTGATGGACGGACTCTGCAAAACTATGCAATTGAAATTTGACCTCATGGGAATCACACATTTGGCTATCAAAACTTCTTCCTTCCCTCCAAGAATGCAGTCCAATGCAATCTGAAAACTTAGCAAAGATCTAAATTGTAATTTACATAATGACAATGTACATGTGCAATGTGCAATGTAATGTGTAATGTAGGACAAACTGTGTTACCTCCTCTCCCCAGTTCTTGCCCCAACTGTTTTTTATGATCCAGTAGGGTGTGTCATCCTCTGTGCCAGAAAAAGATAAAAATATTAGACCAGCAACCATGGCTATTAAAGGAGAAATAAGGTTGGGGGACAAAACAGCATATTAACAAACGAAAGACACGTCTAATTCTTTTTTCATGCTAGATATAGGACCTGCTCCATGTAGTTTTTATGCAGTGCAGGATTCCCAACCCCTCTTGTTGAAAATCCTTTTGAACTTTGTCAACTTTTCAATGACTTTCCCGGGGCCCCTAAATACAGGGACTTACTAGTAACATTTCCTTTTCGGTGAAGCAGGGAACAGAATGCAAAATCCTGCAGTCACCGTTGAAAGCTTCTCAGCAGGAACTTTGGATTACACCAGTCCCTTTGAGACATTGACAATACAAATACTACTAAGACCAGCACATGTGACCTTTACAAACTACTACTTTATATGCTTCGTCAGTCATGTATTCAACAAATTTTCCAGGCCAATATCCCTGACAGCCGCAGACTTACTGGATCCATATCCCACGATCAGCACACCGTGGTCCAGCTCTTCAGGGTTACAGAAGATCCTCCAGGGGTGGGAGATCCCTCCCATGTAAAACTGCAAGGACAAGCAGGGGCATTTCATGTACTGAGATATTCTCTCATGATTGTAACACTAGATCCCAAAACAGCTAGAGTCTAGAAGTCCACTACAACAGCACAAAAAATCAATATGGAAAATTATAGTTGATTACCTCCCTTTTTAAAATTTAATGCAACAATGACATTAAAAAGACTTAACCCAGGTGTACGGAAATACACAGAAAGTCCCTTACCCTCAAGATAAAGATGGGACAACAAAGGTAAAGGTGAAAGCATCGGTCTATAGTCATGCAGGCCATATCAAATTGTCAATTTTTTTGCTATAATTGAGAAAACTGAACAAGGGCAACAACAGAACATTTAGAAGACAATGGAACAGTGCAATAAACAATGAGGAATCGCCAACTCTTACCTGCATGGGGAATGCATTGATCCCAATGGAGATGGGTCCGTTCTCGGCCAGCCAAGATGCCATCTCTGCATGTGGCAAACAATGATAATATTGTCCATTAATAAACATGTAATATTGTCTCTGGCAAAGTGACCAGTAGTTGTAATTGCCAGGTGTTTGTCCCAATACCCAACAAGTCAATACATTAATACAGCTGCAATTCAAGGCAAGTCTATCTGCACCATTTTCTACTCAGTGATAGTTCCACCAATGTCCCTTTCTTTATGTTGGTTTTCTGAATCAGATGCATTTCATATAACTCATATAGACTTGTGCACACCGTCAGACAGCTGAGCTTACCATTTGTACAAGAAAAAGTAACCGTGACAGTTACGGCTTGCATAAACATGATCTGCCATACATGTATATGCAACACAAGAGCTTCTTACAACAGCACTACACTCACTCATACTCATTCCATCAAGATATCTCAGAAAAGCTCTATCCTGTATAATAGATTTTCAACTTTACTTTGAGCTTGCTACAACTATGTGTGCTATTCCTTTGAATTTTGACTTTTTGATCACAGGAACCAGGCAAAGACACTAAAACTGCATCCTGACTTCTCCAGAATACTATGTATACAGTATGTCTGGCCTTCTCCTATCACGTTTTTGCAGGATCATACATGTCGGGAAGCTAAAAGTAATTGGGTCTTTAAGAGGTAGTCAAACAGAGCTGCCCTGCAGGTGAGGATTACCCTTGGAGCCAGACTGACTTTCATTTGCTTTTCATATCAGATTATGTATTCAGCACTTCTATAGCTCCTGATTCTCAGGTATCTCATTATGACAAGCCTGGAAATTTGCTAGTGAGTTTTACGAGCACCCATTTCTGACATTTGACTCACTTCTGACTAAGAAATGCATGTAGTGTGACATCATGTCACTTAACAGGCACCGGGCGTGGTAAATCAACCTGATACTTCAACCTTCTCTTCTTGTGGCTTGCTTGTTCAAAAGCAAGCTGAGACCATAGGATGGCTTTGAAGTCTGATGCTGACAGATCAGTACCCTGCACGCTCTATAGGTGGGAGACCATACATATGCCAAGACTCCTACGATTCAAAGGCTTCCTACCCTGATACAGATGATGTGCCATGTTGCTTTCTATGCACAACACCAGCTCTGCCTGAGGAGTCAAACAGCTTGCTGAATTCTAATATACTGCTACTCACAGCATATCAAACAAAGTTCAAAAGTACATGCAGTGGGATGCAAATTCTTACTCAATATACATCAATGTCCAATACATTAAAGGATTTCACTGAATCCTGTATCTATCTTCCTAAACTGTATGCACAATGGTTCCAGTAGACTGACCATTCTCATCCTTGGAGATGTTGACAGAGCTGTTGATGTAGACCTGCACCTTGGAATAATCCATGTGGCACTTCTCATCCTCAGCCTCATAGGGGTACGCCTTCTCTGACTCCAGCCCGCCTTAAATCATGATACATGTAACACCATTCAGGAGCCAGGTACAAACGTATAATGAGAGACTATACTAACTTAATGGGACTACAGTGGCATTGTGGGCCAATTGTATGTATACTCCAGTAAACTAAACTTGTTTCTGGACAAAAAATTCCAGGCTGATATACTGTACTAAGGGCCACTCAGGATGTAGTTTAATTGTACTTAACCTGTATGCTACCATGCCTAAAGTTTTCTTGTACTAGTTTTCATTTTGTTCTACTTGCTTTCTCCCTTTTTCTGTGAGAATTATGTTAAAGCATCAATCAAAACAAACAAGTTAGCTCTGTACATGTATTTCCAGAAATATATTCATAAATTAACTTGATGACTTCCTGGTACTAACTTTGAAGTAAAGCACATGTTGAACATTTTCTTGCACAATACCTCTGTGCCTATCTGCTATCATTGCACCAGCCAAAGGACTTAATGATTTCCTCAGAGGACTTAATGATTTCCTCAAATATATACACATAAAGTTATACACAGGAAATTGTAATAGGACAAAACAACCACCAGATTATGTTTCCTATAAGATGCAGCGATTTCACTCCCTTGAGCTTAGTCCTTCAGATATGTGGGCCCAGAGTTAGCATAGAAGGAGCATAACAGCTCACAGGCAAACATGCCAGTACATTTTGCTGAGCCTTGAGTGGAAACTTTTAAGCCTATTTCCCAGCATTATTGTGCCCCTCCTCAGCCCACACATGGAACCAGATGGGATGAACTCTATACTGTATGAATGCTGAATGCCGTGGTGACAGACAAACAATGCATAACTTGATTGTTTTGATTGATGCTTTTACAGAATATTTACAAGTGGTTGACTTGAAAAAATAAATGCATTAATATGTTTATACAACCCTCCATGAGACTTCCTTTGGGTGTCCTCTAAAAATCATATCAAGTAACATGGACATCTCACCCATCCTGATGATCTCATCATACGCCTGTGAGGGAAGCCCGCCCTCGCAACCATCATCTAGTTTGTCACAGTCCACCAACTCTGTTAAGGTCAAATTATATTGTCTTTGGTTATTAGACAGTTGAGCTGAAACAGGCAATCTGATTGGTCTGTGGTTAAGTGCTTACCAAAGGGTTAATTAGTATGAACTTTAAGGTGCATGGTCACATTTGGTAAGTAGCCATTACATGAATAAAGGGAATGTTGTTGTGATCTGATAATGAAATATATGCAGATGATGCATAGGCATTATCATGGTTGATGAAGCAGGACAAAAAAATCAAAATATTAAGTACACTAATGGAAATGATGGAATAGGTTGACAAAAGAATGAGGAACAAACAATTGTTGAGAAATCAAGACAGGAAGACACTATACTTAATTGACATTTTTTTCCTTACTCAAACAGAAATGAATTGGAATGTGGCAACATCCAATTTAGAACATGTCTACCTCTGCAATACAAAATTTAAGTAAAGGGATATCCACAATCACTGAATACATCAACAAAATTCTAAATCTGTAAACAGAATGGGATAAGATTCCTCACGTTGCTCAGAGAGATCAGGAAGAATCCCCTTCTTGATGGCCCACTGGCCTTCAATGTTCCCAGTAGTAGAGAAGGCCCAGCAGGAGCCACATTGGCCCTGAAACACATCAGCACCAAGGTCAGTGTCAATGGGCTCATTTAGGTAACTACATAAGGTATCCTTTGGCTTGGAAATAGCTAGTGCCTATTTCTACTGTTGTTTTAACATGCGGCATTTAGACTTCTTCTCCCAAATCAGTCATAAAGCTTGAAAAAATCATTTTCATACTGTGAAATTACCCAGTAATGGAAGCCCAGCATTCATAGATCAAATGAGCTGGGCTGTATTCCAAGAAGTGTTCCTAAGTCGGTTACTTTACTGACTAAGTGGCTTGAAGTTTGGCTTGCATTTCTTCAACTTTACTGCCCTGTAAGTTCACTCACTATAAATCACACCACTGCAAATTCTAAGTTTCTATGCAGAAATCATATCAATACAAACAACATCTTTAAGTCTGTAGTTGGACACACAGAATACATTCAATTACTGTCTATGAATAGATAAAAGGAATGCATTTAGAATTAGGTTATTGCATTCTTTATATCATTTGGGCAGTTTGTCCATCGTAGCTATAAAAGATTTTGAGGGCTTTGGTTAAGTTGTGCATTTTCACATTTTTGCTACAAGAAAGCTCTGGACAGCAAATATTACTCTGGATGTCTAAGCACGATTTAGCTAAAAAATGCCCCCTATCTGTCTATGAAACAATGCAGGCAATACATTTAGCATTGAGTGAAATACATGACATGTATACTATTGCAAAGAAAAACAGCTACCAGAACAGACATACATTCATACCCACATAACATGGATATACTGAAATGAAGGGGAACATACTGTATATATTAAGCTAAATTTTGAAAATTACTTTATTTCCTTCTCTTTTGTGTATAGATTTATCAAGTTTTGACATGATAACAAACAGTTGACAGTTGTTGCTGACCTGATCCTTGACCTCAGTGACGGCACCATGATCCCGCCAGTCAAACGCCTGAGGACCGTCCTTCCTAGGGATGGTGGCAGGTGGGAGGGGCTTGGCTGGGGCTTTCCACACAGGTGTCAAGTAGTACCTCCTGAACTCATCCTCTGGACAGACACAAAACAAATCATCATATGTTTTTTCTATATACACAAGAAAGTAAATTAGGTCAACAATGTTGATTTCTAAGCATGATGTCTCTAGCAGGAGATACATGTAGTAGCTTTTACAATAGGATATGATTATGATTCTTTATTGACACAACAAAAAAGTACAGAGACTTTTGTATGGTCTTCTACAACTTAACTAAAGATCTAACAAAGCTACATACATGTGTGGATAACGTCATCTTTCGTACAGAGTATATGTATGATGTAACAATAAAGGTTAACTATTCTCTAACATATGGTCTCTAAGATCGAAACATTCTTTAATGTATTTTCCTATTTGATTAACACAGACGTCCTAAACATAAGTAAAAGTCAACTGCATGGAAATGAAGATAGCAAAGGTAAAATTTCTACATTTTCAGCATTGAGCAGTAAAAACAGTACATGTAAAGGTGATGAGACACTGCTTCATCATTAAGTACTATCGTTATATATAACTAAGGTAAAAATCTAATCATGTTGTACTCACCAGTTAGATCCATGAATTTAGTTACTCCGTACTTGGCTGTGCCTTGCTCTGTCTCCTGCAGACGTTTTGCCTTCTTGAAGTTGTCTTGGAACACGTAGTACCTCTTCAGGTACTCTAAGGGGTGAACAGATAAAAACTTATATTCAACAGCCAGTGTCTGTTTTCATTCATGATCAGCTTCTGCTAGTATTTTAGCTGAATATTGCTATATTTTTAATGTAATGCATTACCTGTGTTTATGATTTGTCTGTACCATACTTCGTAACACTTCTCATGAATCTTTGTCACTTCTTTGTCAGTCTTCCTTTTTTCAACATCCTAGAGTACACTGCTATGATTAAATGCAGTCAGGAAATAGTTGATATTGCTGAAACAGTTTTCTACCTTACCCTACAATTAGTTACTATTCACACCTTCAGTATTGTTGTACTGCTTGTTGTACTGCACAGTGAACTGTTCAAATAGGTCCAGGTGTGGTGACTGGAAGGAAGAAAAAAACTGTTATGCTAGAAAAAATTGTCAAGCTTACACAGTCATTAAATACATGTACATGTAGCTAAGGAACTGTCCACAATTTAGCATCAACTGACAACAAAGAGAACAATGTAACAGATGTTGTGTAACTTGTGTTAACGTTAACGTTTAATACATCAAGTAAAGTTGGATGTCAAGATGAGCATGTTGCAAGGTAAGACAAAGACTGACTCAGAGGCTTTTCAATTTTCACAACCTTCACATTAAAATACATATCTTTTAGGGGTTGGTGGAAAGAATGGTCCAGTCTGGACTGGCTGGGGGTAGAAAAAACGGTCCGACCCGTTCACGTGTTGACAGAAAAATGTAGAATTGCAGGGAATCATCACAGTGTTGTCTACAGTATGGGGCGCATTGCCTGAGTAAACTAAGACATTTGCACCCAGTCCCCATTTTAGCCAATCAGCGTGCTTCATGTTTTGCTATATGGGAACCAGTGTTCTCGCCAGGCCTTTTGAGCATAGCGGGCCGCTATGCTGTGAATTTGTTCCGCTACGCTGTAATTTTGCCGCTATGCTGTGTTTCCGACCAGCGTAGCGGGATTTTCAGTTGATGTTTACCCTTTTGATCTCGGCCACCGTCGTAATAATCCGTGCTTTAAACTTGATAAAAATAATGTCTTTGCTCTCGGCACAATGAACATCTCATAGAAGGTAGTTTCAAGTAACAAAGAAGTGATTCACAACCTGCTGTGAGTTAATTAATCAAACCCCCCAAATTGGCGGCGATAGACGGGCGTGACATAGGGCGTGACATTTAGGCAGAGGAGCGGCTCGGGAGCGGCCGGCTCGCTAAGTTTGCCTGTACGTACGAAGCTCAGTGCTCGGAAACAAACATTATCACTTACATCAGTACCTAGTCTTTGAGATTTCTTATCAATTACACCTAAAATCTAGCAGAAATACCCAAATTTTGTGAGGTAAACAAGTACCGAAACGAGAACTTGAAGTACCTGCCCTCCCCTCATGCTTGCCGGGAACATGACGGGCGTAAATAAAGCTCTAATCCCAGAAACCTGGGTGCCATTATGTACGCCACTCAACAGCATACATCCTTTATTGTTGTCCAAACTTGTCCATTTTTTTGGCTGGATTGTCTTGCATGGAGAAATTTACCGAAAAATCAAACAGACAGCGCTAACAGGACAACGCTCGGCCATGAGCGGCATGCTTTGGATAAGTTCATTCCAAGGGACCAAGATGTCTCAACTGTAATGTTGTCTACCTTTCAACATCTGTCAATAAGATTTTAAATTCAAAATCTAAGCATTAAAAAATAATTATGCCATGTTGTTCCTGCAAAATATCGTATTTCTTATAATTTGACAAGGGCTTGAACTGTTTCCAAGAAACTTTCCCCCTGCTTACAGAATAGACTCTTCCAAGATGGCTCGCACGCAACACATGTTAGAAATTGACACAGCTGGACGGAAGCCGCTTTTTACTGTGTTTTCCCTCAAAATGTTCTTGATTTCGTCGGTAATATAGCTCATTATCAAGTAATTCTACCATTTTACCAATATAATTTACCAATGACATGGGGAATCACAGCGTATTTACCAAAGAACCTCTTGCTGACTGCCGATGTGTTGACAGATGAAAGAAACCCTTTGAACTATGCCGAGGCTTGGGCCAATTTTGATTGTGTCGCAAAGTTAAAATATCAGAACAAATTCTAAAACATGATACAAGTGTACTCCTGTAGTTTCCTTTTTGAAACATTGAAACATGCATAACAGATTTATAATCATGTCAAAATGATTCCTAAATATTTAGTTGTACAATATAAAAAAAAAGTATTTTGCCAAAGACCTATACCAAGCATAAGTAACTCCATTTATTATGACCCTTCATGAATTTGGAAATAAATTTTGGCTTTAAAAAAGCTGTAACAAAGGTGAAAAC